CACTGTCCTGTGGTGTGTTTGTGTGTGGTGTGATGTGAGTGTGTTGTGAATTGTTTGAGTTGTGTGTTCTGTGTGTATGTGTGTAATAACATTATGAAACTACGCCATTTTCTGTGATTAAACTTTTGACCCGGGGAATAGGAGGGTGTTATAGAGCTAATTGCGACTTCTATTCAATTAAAGTCCAGAGTTAGTCCAGGTGGTGTTTCAGCTAGTCTTTAGCACAAAGAAGTGCAACAGAGGGAAACTGCTAAGCATAGCGCTTTAAAAATATGATGGTACAAACTCATAGGCTCAACATTAAACACCAGACGTGTATAAGTGTCCTTCGTGTAGCTCAAAGTAATAACGATGGACGTTTCTCTATGTATGCGAAACATGCGCTGTAGTTGACAGATTTTTCATGATTTTTATACACATATCCCTGTTCTCAAACTAGATCGTGTCGAGGCAGTAATTTAGTGTGAGAGTGAAGAAGAGGACGAACTTGAACTAGCTCTCTACCGCAGTTCTATTCAGGAGACAAGCCATTCTCATCCAACGATAGAAATAAAAAGTGTTCCTTCATAATTCCGCGGCTATTACTCAACGTCAGGTGGCGAGGTGAGTATTCAGCTATGATAGCGGACAAATGTAGGTACCTAACTACCGCTGTTTGCCATATCTCAAGCTGTTGTACATACACTCTAAATAGGACAATCAACAACATAGCCACACCTGTAGTGCTTGCGACCACCTACAATGATATGTTGCCGCGTTCCTAGACTATGAGTAGAAAACTGAAAAGTGCTTAGTTTTCATCGTCTGTGTAGACAGTGAAAAAAACTCTGCTACGATCAGTTAATCGACATTTATCTTCGTCAGACGTACCTTCTATAAGGATCTGCAACTAAAGAAAAAACTACAGTCACACTGCACGCCCCAGAAGCGCTATGCTATATGATCAGATCGACTCTGAGCGCGATACACTCTTTTTCCACGTTATGGTAAAATCCAAGAAGACTGAAATTTTTGTTGTTGATAGTTGCTGAAATCACGAACTTTCGCTCTAAGCCTTTTGCATAACCATTTAGGCATTAACGTATTTAAAAAGGCAAAAACACCCTCAGTTGCGTAAAAACATTTCAGTGAACTGACAAGTTATAAAATGGAGCCTGTCTGGCTTTCTTCAGGCAAGGTATAGAGAAAGCGTATCTGCGTTGAGCGAGCGGGCGATGAGACCAATTTAGACTTCCCTCTGCTTGCAAGACGATTTACAAAGACCACGTTTAATTCGTGGTGATCAGCCTGCATAAAAGGACGTCCTCCTATATCACTCAGGATGTTAGCCTCTCTGTGGCGGGCGTTACCATTATCCACGCCATTTGACTGACCGTATGCAGAGGACTTGTAGCAGATTTGCACCCGCCCACAACATGTTGTTCAGTCCCCGGCGTACGCTGGAGTGAAACACATTAACATGACTACATGAAGTACTGTGGCCTGTGCAAGCATGCGAGACACAGAAGCTTTTGAATCGTTCGTGTTTTAAATTAGAATGGTCATCTGACAGTGTGTTGGAGCTCTGTGAGTACTGCCTGTATCCGCGAGTACTCAGTATTCTGTTCTCCTGCAGTAATGTCATGTAGCATGTAATGGTTTCCTCCAGGAGGGGGCTGAATCTCAGTTTGCATGCCGACAGGAAGCTCGAGAGAGACGTCTTATGCAGAGGCGATCACCACGAATTAAACGTGCCGATGCTAGCAAGCAGAAAAGTCAACGTTTCCATCGCGCAGCTCAGGCGACGTTTCTCACTCCAGAGCCAAGGCTGCGGTAGCGCTCGACATTTTGCGACTGTCTGGCTGCAGTTGCTTGTAGTTTTTCTAGTTGGTCAGATCTAAAGTGGTAAATGTAGGAAAACTGATCTTCTGTATGGGACAATTCAGGTAGTCCTGCAAAATGTGAGCTTTGTTTGATGTCTATCTTATTTTTCAAAGCAGAGAAGGATCAAACAGTGGATTTGAGTACAACTTGTCCCACTCCCACCCAGTTATAGAAACGTATTATAGTTTTGATGGAGCTTCTTCTGATACCTGTAGCAGCAGTTCAAGTTGCGTCCTTCTCTTCACTCCCACTATTACTGCCTGAAGTTGGTTGGATGGCATTTGGAAAATCATGAAAAATCGTCAAAAGCAGAAAAGAAATCACTTACTTTGGAGCACACAGAGCCTTACGTCTGGGTTTAATTGAGCCATATTTGTACCCATTTTTTAAAGCGCTAGGCTAGCAGTTTCCCTTGTTTCCACTCTTTGTGCTAAGCTAGCTGAACAGCCCACCCTGGACCTAATCTGACGATTAAGATTGAATAGAAGTCGCCTGAATGACGAGCGACCGATGCGCAGCGAAAGTAAAACTGAAATCTAAAGAAGAAATTTTTACGTACTGAAATAAACCTGCGTCTTATTTCTCTGTAATGGCATGATACGATATGAATATGTAAAAGGATCCAGTTCCACGCGTCCGAGCTCCGGTAAAAAAAAAACGCCCGTTTTATTCGCTGAATCCCGTCCTTCTTTTTCACGCTCGTTGTTGCCTTAAAAACTGTTACTCGGAAAACTTGAAATCTGAACTGTTTTGTCACAGTCGCAGAAAACCCACAGCAGCAATGAGGGAGATAAAGGATGGGGGACGGGGACGGGGGGGGGGAGGGTTAAAGCCAAATGTAAAGTAAAAACTAAAAAGCCTTAAATGAATAAAAGTGGTGCAATTTTGTAACAGCAACCTGTGGTGTGCAGTCATTCTGGATCAATGTGCATACACCTTCACACATAAAACAACACCTGTTTATGTGTGACAGCAACATGATTACATGTGTCAATGTACAGTCTTATATATTTCATTTAGTATGGGTATAATGTAAGGATAAATACATATGTAAATAGACGATTGAACGATTAAAGAACAGTTGGATGAATCAAGATTTATCGTACATTTTTTCGAGGTGCCGTTATAATATCTTTTTTTAAATGGTCATAATTACTCAAGATAAAATATAGTGCCATTATGAATTTGTTTGGTAATTATCGTAATTAAATATGATAATTATAATAGTTTGAGAGGTTTTTATTATTTTTATCATTATTATTTTATTTGTAAGAGGTCCTTTATAATATTATTATAACGTTATTTTGTAGCGCTCATTATTACAAATAAATTATTATTACAACAACATATTTCTTTGAAAGTTAATTATTATTATTATTATTATTATTAGTCATAATATATGTTTTTGAGGGGTCACGCTCTGTTGACCTACATCACCTCTGACGTCAGTTGTCAACGCGCTTACGTCAGACGCTTCTAAGCTGCCATGGCAACGACGACCCTGTAACTGAAGCTGAGGAGCAGCTAGTTAGCAGCTGCTGGCCAACTAGTCCACATTGTTAACTAGTTATACGATTTCAACCAGCTAGTTAGCAAAGTGTAAATGACCGCTATGATTGAGGAGTGAGTCCTCGCGGGGTTTTGTGGCCGGTAAGCGCGAGATGACCGTCCGCTTTAAGGTAATTAACAACAGGTGTATTAGCATCATTAGCATGGTTAGCCAAACAAACGGATGCTAACCATTGACTTTATATGTAAAGATGCTAACCTAGCCACCTAGCTCTGTAACTGCATCAATCATGAACTAGTTTAAATATCAGAGGTGGGATAAGTACTCGGGTCTTGTACTTGAGGAGAAGTACTCAGATCTTGTACTTGAGTAAAAGTAGAAGTACTCAGATCTTGTACTAAAAGTAGAAGTACTCAGATCTTGTACTTGAGTAAAAGTAGAAGTACTCAGATCTTGTAGTAAAAGTAGAAGTACTCAGATCTTGTACTTGAGTAAAAGTAGAAGTACTCAGGTCTTGTTGAGTAAAAGTAGAAGTACCAGGTCTTGTACTTGAGTAAAAGTAGAAGTACCAGAGTGTAGGAATACTCTGTTACAGTAAAAGTCCTGCATTCAAAATATTCCTCAAGTAAAAGTAGAAGTACTCAGATAAGTACTCGGGTCTTGTACTTGAGTAAAAGTAGAAGTACTCAGGTCTTGTACTTGAGGAGAAGTACTCAGATCTTGTACTTGAGTAAAAGTAGAAGTACTCAGATCTTGTACTTGAGTAAAAGTAGAAGTCCCAGAGTGTAGGAATACTCTGTTACAGTAAAAGTCCTGCATTCAAAATGTTCCTCAAGTAAAAGTAGAAAAGTATTCTCATCAAAATCTAGTGAAAGTAGCGACAGTAAAAGTAGTCATTGTGCAGATTGGTCCATTTCAGAATAATATATATGATATGTTTTATAATGATTGATCATGAAAGTGTTCTCAAAGCTGGTAAAGGTGCAGCTAGTTTGAATGACTTTGTATACTGCAGGGTAGCTTGTGGATTTACTCCAGGTGGAACTAAAGTCTGATTTAACACGTGATTATATTTCACATCATTCATTCACTTCTGTAAAGTAACTAAAGGTAATAAATACATGTAGTGGAGGAAAAGTACAAAGTACCAGAACATGTAAATACTCAACTAAAGTACAATCCTCCAAATTGCACTTAAGTACAGTAATTGAGTAAATAGTTACTTTACAGCTCTGGTAAAGATGTGGCTCTGGACCCTGCAGGATGCTGCAGTCAGGATTAATGAGATGTAATCTGTTTAGCTGGTCTAGGTAATCCTGTCAGAGTGACATTCCCCTGACCTCACGAACACAGCTATTCACTGTTACAACCGCTAATGGGGGGATCATTAGAAACAGAATCAAACAGGTTTATTAGCAAGTAGGTTTACACATGAGGATTTGGCCTTGGTGTATATAGGCATACATAAACATAGTCAAAGAAGTGTGTATGTGTGTATGTGTGACGTGTTTGTGCATGTGTGTGTGTCAGTGTAGAACTGAATACCAGAAGAGCTACAGGACGTCCCGCCCCAGAGGTTCTTCTCCTCAGCGCTGCGTCCCATTGGCCGGCCTGCGCTCAGACCAGATGGGTAAGATCCCTGAAACCAGAACTGGACCGAGTCCCGTTTCAACTGTACGAGAGCAGAACAGGTTTTAATTATCATTACTTACTGAGGATTGGACTTGGTACAATGTTGTCCTCTTAAACACTCCGATTTAAAAAAAAAATTATTATCTTTGTTTTATTCATTTTATTTATTTATTTTCCTTTTTTTTAAATTATTATTATACATATTGTTTCTATATATTATTTAGGTTTATTTTATATTATATATTCATTTTCTTCATCTCAGGTATCTGCAGAGAGCCGTGTTTCCAGAGCAGGAGGAGGTTCTCTCAGTCCTGCGGCTCTCTGCTCTGCCCTCCAGATCCTCCACAGAATCACAAAACAGCGCCCCCTGCTGGTAGGAGGCCTGCATTACACACCTGGGATACCCTTTAGAAACACATTGGAGTAGGAGCACAATGAAGTCATTAAAGTGATGGTTTATCCTTTAGTACGTTAACATGTAAAGAAGATACCAAGGCTAGCATGTTAAGCTTCATGTATCCTTTATGTGTAATAGATAGATAGATGGATAGATAGATAGATAGATAGATGGATAGATAGATAGATAGATAGATAGATAGATAGATAGATAGATGGATGGATAGATGGAGAGAGAGAGAGAGAGAGAGAGAGATACTTTATTGATCCCAGTTTTGGAAATTCTTTCATCACAGAAGCAGAAGTGTGTTCAGACTTTACCTAAAATACTTAAAAAAGTGGAAAAGGGTATTAACAATTAAGANTTCCGGCTTCCCCCAAAACCTCAAAATGAGTCGAAGGAATTTTCCCGCGATGTTCGAAATTATAGATATTTATCGGAACGGTATCGCTTTTTCTTTTTTAAACTGACGGTTCGAGATGACTAGTAGCCCACTATTTCATTGCACAACAGTTGTTGGGTTCGTGTCACAGGCACTTTAAAGTGATGGTTTATCCTTTAGTACGTTAACATGTAAAGAAGATACCAAGGCTAGCATGTTAAGCTTCATGTATCCTTTATGTGTAATAGATAGATAGATAGATAGATAGATAGATAGAGAGAGAGAGAGAGAGAGATACTTTATTGATCCCAGTTTTGGAAATTCTTTCATCACAGAAGCAGAAGTGTGTTCAGACTTTACCTAAAATACTTAAAAAAGTGGAAAAGGGTATTAACAATTAAGAAAAAAGATATGTTATCAAATATAAACAAAACAATATACAATATTCTGGATAATTAAAATAAAATGTCAAAATTACAACAGGATCCAAAATACTTATGTGAGAATTATATAAGGGATGAAACATGTTTAGGTACACATTTTTCAGAATCTTTTTCAGACATTTCTCACATAATTATCCCAAAGATTTCAGGCATATTTCTCAGCGTTTATTCGCACTTTTCACACTAAGATAACAGGGTGTTCTCTCAATTTCTTTCTTCTGTTTCACCAGCATCCCCCAGTCACTCTGCCCACAGGAAGGAGCCCCCGCACCCTCCTGGAGCTGACCCTGTACCTCCAGGAGAACCAGAACCAGCTGGTAAATACTCAACACATCACTCTGCTTTCATTATCTTACATTGAAAGTGATTTTCTGCTTTTGTTATGTTTTTTTCAGCGAAGCCCCGCCCCCTAAAGCCTGACAGCCAATCACAGCTAAGCCAACCTGATGGACAGCAGCCAGCAGCAAATGAGGTGAGCTGAAATCTAAAATGAATATCAAAAGCACACTTTAAGCAAAAAGTTGTGTATCTTTAGCATAACAGTGATGTTTGACATTATGGTAAGTTATTATATTGGGAGTATGTATAAAGAAGAACATACTAGAACTAAGGATGCTTCTTTAAACAAACAAACAAATAAACACAGTATTCAAAGTGAAATGTCTCTGTCTACCTCCACCACAGGTATATTTATGTTTAGAGCGAACCGCTTTCTGTTTCGCAGTGTCTTTTTGAGTGTGTGTGTGTGTGTGTGTGTGTGTGTGTGTGTGTGTGTGTGGGTGTGTGTGTGTGGGTGGGTGGGTTTTTATGTGTGAAGATGCCTCTCTAGCTTTACACTTTTTGACCTCCATGCCCTTTTCTGTGTAATGTACATTCGAGAAGCTTATGTTAGTGCAGCTAAAAGCCCTTGGGCAGTACTTTAGAGAGCAGCTCATTACATTACATTACATTGCATTTAGCTGACGCTTTTATCCAAAGCGACTTACAATAAGTATATTCGACCAGGAAGATACAACCTTGAAGAAAACAGAATCATATAAGTACATCAGGTTTCATAGAGCCAAACATTTCAAGTGCTACTCAACTGGCTTTAGATAAGCCAGTCCTTTATTAGTATATAAGTGCTTTGTTAGTAATTCTATCGCTTGAAGTGGAGTCTAAAGAGATGAGTTTTCAGTCTGCGCCGGAAGATGTGCAAGCTATCTGCTGTCCTGATTTCAATGGGGAGCTCATTCCACCATTTTGGAGCAAGGATAACAAACCCACGTGTTTTTGCTGATGGGAACTTGGGTCCCCAGCTCAGAAAGCTTATTTTGTTCTCTTGATTACACATGTAAATAGTTACAATTTAACCTTTATTTCTAGACAATGACCAATTAAAAATTGATGTTTTTGGTTTGTTTTTATGTCTCTTGTGTGTTAAAAAATGTAAATTAAAAATATTGTGGAAAAGAAAAAAGTCATAATTGATTTGTTTATTTGTGTCGCTGATTTTCCTTTGGAGTGATTTGTACAAACGCGGGTGTCAAAAATAATAAAGCAGAGTCTGACCTCTGTGACCTGTGGCTGGTAACATGTTTGTTTAATTATTTTAACTAAACTATATACATATAATTGTGTCTCTTTATTGCATTTACGTGTAAACTTCAATGAGAATTGTACAAAATAATAATGTAAAGCGTACACATGAAATTAAGACGTGTGAGTAAAAAACTAAATATACCAAAGTCAAATGATGATATTATCCAGCCAAACATGGTAAAGGTGATAAGATACGTTGCTATAAATGGATATCATATCTTATAACCACATTGATATGTCTAATGTTTCAGGGATAGTGGATTTTATAAAGACGTGTTAGTATGACCTTCGTTGCACACCTTTTGTTCTGACATCACACTGTTTATCCACCCTCAATGGAAACTTTAGATGCAGTCGATCACTCACTCACACCAATATTTCCTAACCACTTAGTCAACACTCAAGCTATCACACAATACGGGCTGTGACGTGTATGTGTGTGTGTGTGTGTGTGTGTGTGTGTGTGTGTGTGTTCATGTCTTGCTGTGCCCTGGTGAGCCAGCTAAGCCTTCACCGTTCCTCAAACATGAAAAATAGTCTTGAGGAGAATTGAACATGGAGTACATGTCTTGTTATGTAAATGTCGTTGAGTTGACCTATTCAAATGTCCATTTCACGAAAGTTATAAACATGTATACATTTCTTATTAACCCACTGTATGCTACCTGATCAGCATTACATTGGAGACCTGAATACAGAAGAGCATTTAGGAGGTGTAGAGCCTCAATCAGTTGGTGAAAACCCGAAAAGGTGAGTAGGTTTTTGACTCATATTTATCATGGTCAGAAGCATTATAAAACTCAATGAATGCTAACGTTGCTCCATTTGTGCTTGATCGTCTTCAAGCCTAAAGAAAGAAAGAGGTCTGTTGGAAAGATGATTTACTTAAATTGTTACTCGAAGCTGATTGTTTCACTAGTGACACTTGTTTCTGAAAGGTAACAAAGGAATCCAAAACATCTACCAATATCTGTGCGCAGAGCAACATTTACATTTATAGATATGAGTGAGTCTCTATGGTGTGTCACATAACTGGTTTGAAGTTGGAACAACATGGGTCTACAGTGTCTGTGTTCATAGAAGGAGGAAAAGATAATAATAACAACTGTGTGTGTGTGTGTGTGTGTGTGAGTCAAAGGGATTTTACTTGGTGTAATTAAACTGCCTCCAACAGTAAAGATACTAACCACTGTGCGATCACACAACCAGCCACAATGACCCCACACACACACACACACACACACACANAGAAGCTAGTGATGGGAGTGCCATGGTACGGCTATGACTACCCATGCCTTAACTTTTCCCAGGTGAGATACAGTATGTTCATTTAAAAGATAAATATAAAAAACTTGCGTTATTACATTACATTGCATTTAGCTGACGCTTTTATCCAAAGCGACTTACAATAAGTACATGCGATTAGGAAGATACAACCTTGAAGAAAACAGAATCATATAAGTACATCAGGTTTCATAGAGCCAAACATTTCAAGTGCTACTCAACTGGCTTTAGATAAGCCAGCCCTTTATTAGTATATAAGTGCTTTGTTAGTAATTCAATCGCTCGAAGTGGAGTCGAAAGAGATGAGTTTTCAGTCTGCGCCTGAAGATGTGGAAGCTATCTGCTGTCCTGATTTCAATGGGGACCATTTTGGAGCCAGGATAGCAAACCCACGTGTTTTTGCTGATGGGAACTTGGGTCCCCCCTCGCAGCAAGGGTGCAGCGAGTCGTTTATGTCGTCGGGTTATGTTTTAGTTTATTGAGGTCTGGTATAAAATATGATACAAATATCCATGGTACCCAATGGATGAATCACTTTGGTGATAATCTTACTTTTTCACTACAGCCATCGTGAGATCAGAACAGTTGGTTTTAAGTGAAATGTCTACACAACTTTGGACAGATTTCAGTGACATTCGACAAAGACTTTCATGTCCAAGTATTGTGATGCTTTAACTTTGTATCCAGCACCATCTTCTGGTCGGAAAAATAAATGTGTCGAATACCACTTATGATCAGCCTCATTTAGCATTATAATTGTGAGGAAGTTTTCGTCATTGATGTGGTTTGCACGTTAGCACTAAGCACGGATGTGTATCTTTCATCACAGTGCCGCTGTGGCTGTAGTCCCTTATTCTTGTTTTAGTGTCAACAAATCCCATAAAATACATATAATTACCATGAATTGATTCTACTTCCGAGTAGTGCCTGTGAAGCCGAAGCCAAAGCCTGATATATTTGTTCCCTTCATTGTTGTCCAAAAACTATATAGGGATCATTTGAGTTGTTTGGAGAAAGTAACACGGGTAATAAAAATAATACCCAACTTCAAACACCCACATGTACATTACTTAGTGGGGTGGCTTATTAAAACGGTAAAGATGGATGTAATCGCTCAGTTTCCCCTTGAAATAGGCTGTCTCATATTATGAATATAGCGAAAAAAATTTTTTTAAGGATTCTACTTCAATCATTTATTTAAACTTATTGTAATGTTTGAGTATATAGAAGTTGTTCTTTCTAAGATGCAAACACAGATATCTCTTAATGTCTTTACCCATACCAGGAGGGGGCTTGTTCATTAATGAAAGTGCCTTTCCGTGGAGCCCCCTGCAGTGATGCAGCAGGAACACAGAAAACATACAAGTGGATCATGACGCAGGTCAACGGCTCTTTGTCCGGCAGGCTCTGGGACGACAAGCAGAAAGCTCCATACTTCAATTACAAGGTGCGTTGTCTTTATTATATATTTTAACTTTGAATTCTTGTTTTATTTGCTCAAAGATGTAAAGCTATGTTTGGGTTAGATATTTTAGTAGTTAGCAAAGTAGGTGCCAATTTCATGGTTTGTCTCTCTGTGTGGTCCCGACTCGACTGACTGCTCCTCTTTTATTCCTGATAAGTTACGACTTCACAAGTCAGGCAGGGATTTCAGGCATGGTTTGTCCAGTCTGTTTATCCAGAGGGCTGGCGTCCCACAGTGTCACTTCCCAAACAAAACAAATCACCCCTTAGCCATAAAACATTCCTGACTTCTTGTTGGCTTTTATACAAATCATTATAAGATGGTGCATCTTATTTATTCTCCATCATCTGTACTTCTAGCTGTGTTTCCGTAGAACCTTAAAGAGTACTTAAAGTTAGTAATACAGTATACAATAAATGCAAAATAAAGGCCCTTAAAGTGTTAAACAGACTTAACCTCCATTTTATCAGGTAATACATTATGTAGTTGGTGTTCATTATGTATTGCGTAGCACAAAATGTAAATTATAATAAGTATAAAAGACATTCAAATATACTATCCTAACAAGGTTTTTAATTTATATTTGTATATATCATCAATTCTTTTCAATAGGAAACAGGCTTGTGTTTCTAGCCCTCTTTCATAAAAAATATGACTTTGACCTAATATTTGTAATACATTTCTTGTGCTTTGTTACCACTTCATCCATCTGTTTTATTCATACAAGGAGTTATCATAAACTGAGACTTTTCAGTTGTGCTTTCTTAAAGTCAATTTATAGTTAAAGTGGAAGTTTAACACATGTTGTTACTCAAAGTCGGGATGAGGATATGGAAACGTTGAAATTAAAACGTATTATGTTAACCTCAGGATTCTTGTTCTCCTTTAGGACCAGGCAGGGCAGATCCATCAGGTTTGGTATGATGACCCACAGAGCATTTGTCCCAAGGCGGAGGCGGTGAAATCCAAAGGTTTGAGGGGCATTGGCATGTGGAATGGAAACATCTTGGACTACAGCGATGAACCGGTCGCCAGGCAGCAGACCGCAGTGATGTGGAATTCTCTCTTAGGATGCTAAGAAGCTTGGATACACTTGACACGGTTGCAGAAATGTACATCACCCCTCCTGTTTGTTGCTAGGTCAATATAACCCTTTGTGGCAGTAATGGGGTGGGGCTTCCCTCTATTCAGGGAGCATACTTGCACTTCAGAGGTTATTGTGGCTTTTATTGGTGTTGTCATTGAATGTAGTTACACGGCAGACATTCCTCTGTGCAAACTGAAATAACTGATTCTTGGAAGAAAAGAAAAGACAACCAATCTTTTCAATGTGACACAAACAGTATTTTAGATTTGATGATTTTGAGCTTACTCAGATTCCTGCACTTTTTCTTGCTTTATGCTTATGATAAATAAAACATGTAAGTTATTGAAGTTACACAAACATTTTTTTACTGCACCTGAGGAAAGTCAAAGTACCAACTTTGTGAAGAAATCCAATCACATCAGACATGAAATAGTAATACACATAATAATAAAAAGCGGGAAAAGTACAAGCCCAAAACTCAGGTAAAAAAAAGAATGACATGTGGAAAGCACAGCTGCTTAAAATAAAACAAATCAGTTTTAGTCCTGAATTGAATGGCATTAAAACAAATCCCAAACAGACTTTAATCTAGCTTGCCTTAAACAGTAGAAACCGTGGTATGTACTGAATCAGATGGAGGTTCGTTGAGCCTGCGGTGTTTCCCGTGTGGTACTTCCAAATCCCAGAGAGGACATGGGGCCGGGATGAGAGGACTGACTCTTCTTCTGGGCCAGCTCAGCCTTCAGGGCCCTCAGCTCTGTGGCAGCCTGTTTCCTCAACTATCGGCATAAAGGAAAAAATAAGCTGGTTTGTTATTATTATAATTCAGCAGATTACACAGTAGCTGTTGAATGTAATGAAGAACATTTACTCAAGTACTGAACGCTAAATAGTAAACAACATTTATATGTGTGTTAACAACACTCCTAGATTTCCGAGATCCCAGTCCAGTCAGCAGAGTTAATTCGCTAACGGCTAACTGCAGCTATACAGTTAGCAGCGGTTAGCCTTACTTTAGCAAAAAGGAAGGCTTTCTGTTCATCAGGAATCACAGAGTTCAGGATAACTATAATCCCCCCACTGCTATAAGGCCATCCAACCTGAACAAAACAGCTAATTTAACGGATACATTAAATATGTAGAACACAGATGTGTGCAACAAGGCATATTTTTCAGATATGCTTCTTGAACAACTAGTTAAAACTTCCTTCGTAGTTCAACAGCTATACTTTTGTACAGGGGTTTTAGAAACATTTAGGTAGACTCATATACAATCAGATACCTTTATCTCTGTTATCAGCTTCATCTTGGCATCCTCTACCTTCCTCTTTAAGTTGTCAATCTCATGGCTCTCCGTCATGATCTGAATGATGAGCTCGTTCTGAAATGAATGATATAAAAGGCCTTTATTGAGAAGAAGAAAAAAGCTTGAAATTGTGTTTAAGCAAAAATAAAGTGGGTTTTATTGAACTTAACTATTTCTACTTAAAAAGCACAGGCGTTCCATTTGAAAGGCTTGGGTAATAAGCATAATAAACTGTTGGTTTCATGTTAAAAGTAGATTTTATTGCTGTAATAAATGCATATTGGCAATTTTTATTTTAAAATGTCAGTGTTCCCAATTTTTTGGGAAACCAATCAATATTTAGTTTCTACTAAACGACAGTTAAAGACGTATCTCTGAGGAATAACTCTTCCAAATGCATCGCATACCTTTTAGGAATTAGTCTTAACAAACACTACAAAATTTAATCAATTTGTCTTCAGTTTTACCTTTATGGAAGATCTGCCCTGTCGTCTCGGCTTCCCTCTGTTATCTCTGGCCTGGAGCTGGTGCAAGAGTTTGTTGTAAAATGTCTCCAATTCCTGTCTTAGGTTTCTCAGATTTTCCTCCAACGGCGCTGTGGCCTTTTTAGTTTCAAAATATTTCTTCTTCCAACTGTCACGGGCTTTACGTTGAAGAAAAATTGCAGCAGAATTTAGTTACTTTTGAAAAAGTTGACATATTAAAAATAATTTGACTAACAATTTTACTTTCTCATATGTCGTCCACAATCTATCAAGTAAGGCTTTAGTGGCAGAACATGCCACAGCAATTAAATGTTCACTTTCAAACAGTTATGCAGTTATGGTACACAAGGAACATGTATCTTTATTCTTGATGTCACTGACTGCTGGCAAAATTAAGAACTGGATGGATGATTCCTTGTAAGATGTTATTTCTTTCTTATACAGTTTTTTTTATTGCTCACCTTGGTTCCTGCGGTGTCTGTTTTGAGCCAATAAATCCTTCCCCTTTCTTAGCAACTCCTGCCTTGTCCACTCCAGCTGCTTTCTCTCCTCCCTCACCATCTTTATTTCCTCAATCAGTTCCTCTCCTAACACACAAACATGTCAGTTTGGATCAATAAAAAATAAAAAACATGAATCCTTGGTATGAGGCCAAAGTGACAGCTTACTGTTTGTGTGAAAGACACGATGGATAGGTTTTTTTGGAGTGACTACGGGCAAGTCTAGTCCTTGAGGAGGAGAAGAGAACCCAGGCCGGGACAACACAGCAGGACTTCCTTTCACCTTAAAACAAGCAACAAACACATCAACATGAGTCTATATCTCAAAGGATTTGAATGGATTAGTCTTTATTCCTGCCCTTTTTCACTTTAAAGACCTCCCACACTTCACTAGACCCACCTGCTGGTTGTGGAATTTGGACTTATCACTACACCAAGACAACTTTCAACAGACTGGACATTTCCTACATGTTTGAAAAGCCCTGTAAAATCAATCAAGAGCAACCTTTCTCAAAGTGTTATACTCAAGAGTATAGCCTGGATAAGACATGCTGAGACTGATGCTGGGAAAAAGCTTGGACATAAGTAATACAATACTTTACATCACTGCTTTGTTTATTCCTGATGGACTTCAGTGCATGTGCGTCTTTTGATTTCCCCAGCCTGCAAAACAACACACTGTTAGAACAAGCAGCAGCCGAACAAACTGGAATTCACTGCAGAGTACAAGTATGGCTCTCAGTAATGCTGCTCAGTACCCGTCTGAGAGAGAAAAGCCTGAATCTCTGTCCTCCAGAGGCTGGACGACTCCTGAGTCTCTGGCTCCTCTGTTCTGTCTCTGGTGCTGTTTCTTCTTTCTGCAGGTTTCTTCATTTTCCTTCACCTCATCTGAATCTGCCTCACAACGCTGTACAGCTGTAGATTTATAGAGACTGAATAGCTGAGTATAGTAATGAGATCATAGGATTAGTTTTAAAAGGGCTTAAAAAAATGTCAATGTTAAGATGTTGGGTGGCAGCTGAATTCCACTAATGTAAAAAGTGCTGGTTACCATATTATAAAATACCAATGTGATGTTCACATTTAACCCGAAAATAACTTTGTAATGTACAGTATAGTTTTGTGTATGCGCTCTTGTGCGTTTGCTGAAATATGCTTTTTAAAGAACATGGGGATGTTGATGTTTTATATATGCAAGACTGAAAAGCCATTTTCTTTTGACATACGGTATACCATAAGGATATGGGTCACAAGATCTGTCCTAAAACATAGTGAATTTCAGCAGGTTTAAGTAACAGAAACCTGCACTTTTTTCACATAAAGTAACTGCAAAAAAACCCAGATTTGGCCGATTTTAAGAGAGATGGCGAACCAAGATGAATGTAAAGTGTGAGGCATCACAATCGGAAAGTTGGAGAGGACAATGCTTTTAATGCTGCACAGAAAACTTCAGTATATTTTACCGTTATTTTGTGAAACAGGCTGTGGTGCTCTTTGATTGTGATGCTTCTTTGTGCAACATTGCTGCTCTGCCCACTCTAAGTTGGAAGACAGACCCTCTTCATTGTCTCCTTCTGCCTCTGAAGAACTATAGCTTTGCTCCTCATCTACCTCCTCTTCTTCCTCCTCCTCTCCCAGGCTGGGGGTGGGAGGTGGCTGATGGGAACACTGGGGGATGAGGGGGAATTTAACAGGCTCCTTTGTTCCTGCTGGCTGGCTGCAGGTCTTTGGAGGCTGGTAATAGGTCTGCTGGTCCGGCGAGCTGCTGCTGGTGTCTGGGGTGAGAGACTGGGAGCAAACACTGCTGTCGCTCTCCACAGCGGGCAGCAGGTAGAGCTCCGGCTGCGGGGCCTGCCGACAGGTGACAGCAACACATTAGTGCAGACAAACAGGAACATAAAGAGGCAGAGGTACTATTATTGACATGTAGATCACAGGATAATATGCAACTACAAGGTTAACAAACAATGACAAACAAAAAATCATTGTTCATAAAAAACAAGGGAAAATTGTGTTGGATGGCATCATCCACTTCACTCACAAAATGACCATTTATATACCAAAAACTCACCCTTTGTTACTTTGAATTACTTCAGAGAACCTTCTTTAAACATGCCAAATAATATGGCAACTAAATAATCAAAACAGTGAGAAATGTTTACTGCAACAACAACCAAACTACATCAAAACCTATGTTTACCAGCTTACCGCACAACTCGTGCAGTATAATTGCAGTGTCATTTATCCAGCTGTTTGCTAAATACTTTCACTATATTTTTCACTTTTGATGTATTTCCACACAAGTAGTCTCATGAGTTGTTGATATGGAAATGGTCATTTTGTGGTTAAAGGTTAAACATGGCAACAACATATCTCTGTAATCCATCCACTGGGATTGGAAGCAGAAGAGAAGAGTTATTTAGACATTTCGATTTTTTTTGAAAAATCCAAATACTATTTTCTATCAAACTGAAAATATAAGGGATTTCAATAACAATGTAAGAAAAAAGCTAAATGGTAAGGAAATTCTTTAAATTACATGAACCTGTGTTTAGTCAATACATTATGCATCAGACTATTCCAAAGAAAAACTATGTACATTTGGACATGGATTCTACATACATACGGTGGCGCGAATGTCTTCACTTTAAGATCCCCCTCCTGTTTGCTCTTGACCTGCAGTATTAAAGAATGTTGTTATAGAAGGCGTGATAGTAAAAACGGTTTACACGCGCGCGCACACACACACACACACGCACGCACGCACACGGCGTCGTATATTTTGTTGTCAGTTTGCGAGTTCGACGTGAGGTTGGTCTCGGTTTGACGCGGGTTGTTAGAAAGTCTTTTCTCTTTAAACAGCTACGAGGAGAGTCGCGGGTTCTTTTCGAGAGTCGAGACGGAGTCTAAAAGTCCCACTATCAGGTCCTCATTTGGGGACTGTAGGTGGACTTTTGAGCCTCGTGCTGACTCTCGGAAAAGAACCGCGACTCTCCTCGGTAGCTGGTTTAAGAGAAAAGACTTTACCCCCCGGCGGTCAAACCGAGACCACTGCACGTGCGTCGACCGCAAAATGACTAACAAAATATATCGACCAACACCCGAAAAGTGGCTGCGTCTGTGGACCTCTCTTTGTCTCGCGTCTGTCAACCTAACTGTTCAAATGATAAGTTCGCGACTGTGATTTCCCAATTTCACACACACACACACACACACACACACAACACACAACACACACACACACACACCCCCACACACACACATACACACACCACACGC